TAATAACTTTTGTTTGTTAACCTAAAAAAACTAAGTTTTTATGTGATTATTTTTATATATGTATAAATATAAATTCAAGGTGGTCAACATGTTGACATGAATTTAAAACTTCCATTGGTTTATTTATTTATTTAAAAAAAACACTTGTTTTTTTATACACATATACGTTTAAATTGTTTTTTTATACACATGTACATTTAAATTCGAGTTTTACTACATTTCGACATAATTTATTTTTTTTCGATTCGATGATTAATTTTATGTACGTTTCTTACGTATAATAGGTTTCGTTAACTAAAAAAAACATATTATATTCGAGTTTGTCTATGTTTTGTATTTTTTTAAACATTTTTGTGTTTATTTTTATGTATGTTTTCTATGTATAACTCGGGTCACGTATAATAACTTTTGTTCAAAATTATTAAGTAAAAAACCAAGTTATATACTATGGAGAATAAGCATAAAAGTGTAGAAAATAGTAGGTAAAAATAACGTTGAAGTGAAATGGTCAAAATGACATTTTAATAAGTAAAAAGTTAGAAAAGCCACAAACTCGTAAACATAAAACATAGAAGAAATTACATAAATGGTCGTTACAAACTCCGTCCTAAATGACCATTCACAAATATTTTGTAAACCACAAAGACCATGTTCGATAAAAAAAAAATTAGCAAGGAGTGAGTTTGTTACCATTGGTAAACCACACGGACCATTTATATAATTTTTTCTATATTATTTGTTAAATTTAAGTAACATTGGAGTCGATCTTATGATTTTCACTGTACTATTTAAATAGGCTTCTTATGAATTTTATGACCCCCATTAAAAATTTAAATTAATTTGGCATAATTTGCTGTAACATATGGTTCTTTGGAATGAAAATTGCAAATTTTGTCAGATATTAGTGCTATTCTTAGTCCAAAAAGTGAACACTTAGTTTAAGGGTTATCCGACACAAATACAACGTTTCCTTTTTAAAATGAATTCAAACTTGATTGAAAACCCAACCAACAGCATTTTATCCAGAGACACCGCTTGCTACAAGATTTGTACACATATTTTTCTCTTTACTCTGATACTGCAACAGAAGCATTATTGTCACCCGTAGTAGCAATATTACATCCAATCTACAAATAATGGAAACGAGAACCATGAGCCGCATTTGTAGTAGTAACAAGAAATAGCAATGTACTTTCATATATTTGATTACTACAGCAAAGTAGTTACAAAAATGCACCCAGTTAAATGCAAATGACCCTTCATTGCTATAAACTATAATTTGGTAGATTTTTCAATGTACATTTATTTCCTTAAGAAGAACAACACTTGAAAATACAATCTTGTAAGAGAAACATATCAAAGTAGGAAGCTACGATGAACACATACGATTTTTTTGCATTTAGCCCTTGTTTATATTCAGCACTAGTTTATAACCCATGGGAACCACGGTTATAAAATTAATTAAACTTTTATAATAAAAATTTATAATTATTAATCATTTATTTTAAATAAATCATTTTAAATAAATTATTAATTAAGAGATATTTCAAAATTTTAAAGTTATTATAACTTCAAATTTAACATATAATTAGAAAATGTAAATTTGAATTTTGAAATGAGTTGCCTAATATATCTACATGACACATGCCATAATATTAATGAGAAGTTGTATTAGAATGAAACTTGGCATAAGGAGATTAAAACTATTCATTTATTAGAATAATAAGGAGAGGAGATTTATATTCGAGATAAAACAAGGAAATCAAGAAAAAGATCAACTGGTTTCCTAAATTATATTGGTACTTCCATTAATAATACTTGTGTTGTGCACCATAAAAAATCTAAGATAATTATTAGTTTATTCCATAAAATCATACTAAAGATAAATAACCAAAACAACAAACAATCATCTCCAACAAACAAGTCAAGTTTTAAAAAAAAATAAAAAAATAAAAAAATCAGACCGCTGAAATAAAATTCGAAAAACGAATCTATTTCTATTGTATGGAAGTTAAGAAGAAAAAAGATAACTAATTAAAAAGTGAAGAAAACAACTACTATTATATAACCCAAAATATACACATTTTTTAGTTTTATACACAGATATGCCTACCGATATTGGAAATTTTTTGCTACATAAATATAGTCCTTTATTTTAAATTAAATACAGAGAAAATTACATTTTTCGGTGCCAGAGTATAACTGCTTTTTTCAAATTTGGTCCTCATTTTTTTTTCTTTTTTTTGTAATCTTGGTACTTATTTGAGGTTTTTGTAACGTGTTTGAACTTTGGCTCAAGTTCCAAGTAAAATGACTATTTTTGGGACCAAAATTGCAAAAATCAGCTATCTTCAGGGACCAGAATCAGTCATTTTACTTGGAACGGGAACTGGATACAATACAAGAACCTCAAATAAGGACTAAAACTGCAAGAGAAATATTTTTGCAAAAATCAATTATGCTTAGGGACCACAAAAGTAATTTACACTTCACAAATTATGAACTTTAAAGGATATGAGATCACATATATCATGGTCATCATTTTTCACATTCTGAATGAGCAATTCCAAGAGGAGATATTTTGTAGCTTTCTAAAAGTTGTAACAAGAAAAACATGCAACTAAGGTAGATTGTTCATTTTTCTGCAAAACGGTAATTCTTCCAGCATCATTATTCTTTAATCATCGTTAAGAACACACCAACACCAACGTTTTAACATAGAGAGAAAAAAGTAGTATAAAGGAAATACATACATACATACCTCTTTTAATCTTGAAAAACTTTACATGTGAACCCAGAATTCACAAGATTGTTAATGGCATCCCTGAATCTGTAGTAATCATCAACAATGTTGTAAATTTGATGAGAAATTCTAGCATACCCAGTTATCGGATTGACCTCCCCAACCTCTGGTTGCCTATAATATATTGGAACTTCAACCTTAAAGCACTCCCTTAAATGAGACCTTAATTTTAATCCATCAGAATCACTCATAATCTCCAAAGAAGTGGGTAATCCAACCATTGCCATACTTGAACACATATCAGGAGGTGAACCAAGATGAGTGCCCCAAGATTTTGCTAACATGTTTGCCATTTCTATAACCTTTTGGTGATTCCATTCTCTTATTCCATCAAGCCCACCTTCAAACCTACTTACAAACTCTAAAGCCTCGGGTACAACTAGTTGTGCGCTGTAGTCCCTTGTCCCGATCCATGAACTTTCTATAGCTAACCCATTTCCGTATTCATGAGATACCACAGGGTGGTGGAGATTAGATAGCTCGGGATTTCTACAGTGCAAGAATGCGATTGAAGGTGGACAGAATAACCATTTATGGAGATTGCTAGTGTAGAAATCAGCCCCAATTTCTTTGACATCAACCCTAGTTGACCCAATTGCATGAGCAGCATCAACGAAAATCCGGTCAACTCCTTCTTCTCTACACATCTTTACCAATTCCTTGACGGGAATTACAACGGATGGCATGGAGGTGATGTGATCAATTACGGCTAACCTAACTTTACGATTATTGGATTTCCCTAATTCTAAAGCGTTTCTAAATGCTGTAATTATTTCGTTATTTGAAGCTACGGGAAAGGGCATCTTAACCTCGATGACATGGCCACCTGCTCGCGTTACGTAAGCCTCGACGGACTTTTTGACGGCACCGTAGGCGTAGTGGAGCATCACGGCGGTGTCGCCAGGGTTGAATTTTGATTCGAAGAACGACCATTTGACTTGTTGGAGTACGATTGCAGCGGCCGTTGTGGCGTTATCGACTATTGAGATTTCGTCGACGTGATCGGCGTTGATGAGGGTTTTGATGGCTTCGCGGGAGCGGAGGATGGAGGGTTTGAGATGGTTGAAGTAGAAGTCGTCGGGCTGTTCAAGGAAACGTAGCTGGTAACGTTGTTGGGCTTCGATGACGGAGGAGGGGCATGAACCGAAACTGCCGTTGTTAATTCGGGCGACGGCAGGGTCGTGATGAGAGAATTCTGAGCGGATATCAATGTCAAAGCGCTTATGTTTTTTGCAAGGGGAGGAATTGTGGATATTTAGGGTATCGGTGGCCATAGCGGTGGTGGTGGCGATGGCGCCGTTCTCATCGTGGTGGTGGTGGAGATTATTGGATGCCATGGAGAAGAGACGGTTGTAGTGTTGTTGAGAACGGAGAAAAGACTTAGGTAGTGTCGAGACTGGTATTTGTGGGAGAGTGGAGGCGGCGAGGCTAAAAAGTAAAAACATTATATTCAACTATTCAAGTGATTGATGAATTAGATGGTAACTACAGCTTTTTCGTATTCAGATATGTATATTTTTTTTTTCGAATAAGTTAAATAAATAAAATACATTATATTGCAAGTGATTGTTAATTATACAAGACTATAGCATAAGTTTAATCGATGATTTTAGTAGTTTGTTTTTTTATTTAGATTGAAAATGATTTTTCTTAAGAGTAAACTACTGAAAAGATCAATATAGTATAATGAAAAGGATACCTTTTCTTGCTTTTTTTTTATTACTATGGGCACTCATTCGTGTGATTTAATTCCTGGCACCGATAGTCGTTCAAGTCTTAACGGTTAAGATTAAAATGTCAAATTTATAAAATAACATGAAAAATTAAATATTTCCTACAAAAAAATAATATTATTTTAATACATTTGTTGTAACACATGTCATTATTTAAGATGAGTATGAGAATATTTAGGAACAAATATATGAGGATATTTAATTTTCATATCATTTTTAGGGGAAGTGAGTAATTTAACTCATATAAACAAGTATTTTAATAATAATAACCATCTTATAATTTTTTGTTTGAAAAATAACCGCTTACTTCGGAATTTTGTATTCCAAAGTAGTTTCGTCCATTCCGGAGTTGGGGTGGTTGGTAGGTATCGGGTTCGAAATCCAACAATTGTACGTTCGAGACTGACAAAATGGATTCCAGACTATGTTTTCCGGAATACGATATTCCAGAGTATTTATGTTCATTATGAAGTTAGTGGTGGTTGGTATGACTCGAGACCGGAATCTGACACTCATACGTTCCGGACTGAAAAGTGTATTCCGGAATATACGACCATTCTGGAATGGTAAAATCAAGGTATTTCTGTTCTTTGTTCATCAACAAGCTACATACAGTATATTTGTGTCTTTGTTCCCCAATTCGTCAAAAGCAGTGTTATTTGATAATTTTTGTAATCTAAAAGAATGAGTATGTATATGGATTTTTTTGAATGCTAGTTTCTAATGGAGGGCAATGGCAGCATTTCGAGGGATTTATGCAATATATTTCTCCATACTACACATGTTTTGGTGTAGATATAAGCAATGATATCAACTTTGTTAGGTTAATCATGTTGGTTGCTTTTAAGTATAGGTTACACACTAATCAAATATGTATATATTTTCAATGTTCTAGATCAAATATAGTTGTCACACCCCCGAACCAGACGGGGGAAACGTCTGAGGGCTCGTGTGACTTAAATTGAAATATCATCACAATGAACATACATGAAACATAACATAAACATCAACGTGCATTAATATATTACAACCGTCATTGTTCACATCAAGTACATTGTTTACATCACTTAATCCCGAACATACATTGTTTATCAAATGACATCACGCAAAAGACATTCAGACACAAGCTTGATAATTCTTCATTCTAACGGTTACCTGAGAACACAAGTTATTTTG